TGGGTATATCGCAATTAAATATGATCGTTCAGTGAGAAAACGAACGAAATTGATGGAAATTGAGCGATGATTTTGAGAACGAACAAAATAATTTTTTAAGCGAGTAATAAACAGGATGAACAAACGAAATGAAAAAAGCTGAATGCGCCCATCTCTAGACTTCTTCTAAAATGAAACCATCATGAATTCTTCATGAATAGGATGTGCTGGATGTGTCCGCCTTCAAAAATGTTGAAGCCTGGTTCGAGAAATGTAAAGGTAAAATAATTATTAACTTTCATTTTTATTATGTTAAAATTGCTTCGTGGATATTGTCCGAAATGGAAACAGAGAAATGACCGTATTACATCTCATAGAACAAAACGTTCCAGTTTCTTGTAAACCGGAAATATTCAAGTGGCCATTCCGAAAACCGGAAATATTCCAAATTCCATGTATATAAAACGGAAATTATACAGTATCTAATATGTAAACCAGAAATATTCCAGTTTCCATTAAGAAGACAGAATATTTTCCAGTTTCCATGAATCGTCCAGTTTCCACTAGTACAACGGAAACATTGCAGTTTCCATTATGTGGACAGGAAATATTTCAGTTTCCATTATGTAGACAGGAAATATTGCAGTTTCCANTTGCAAAAAACTAATTCACAATTTTATCTGTATTAAATATGGACATCACAAGCACATTATACCAAACACATAATTGTAACTTAAAAATGAGGCTTACAATTGTTTAATTAAATAAGAATAAAGCTTTTAAAACATATGAGTATGATCTTTTTTATTTTAAATTTAACTTTGATTGTTGAATTCGGCAGAACCACATGAATGTTCTTTTAAGAATGAACCAACATTTTATTCAAAATACGTGGAATTAATCGTATTTTGGATTACATTACATGTAACTTTTGATAAAAAAAAATAAAGACGAATAGAAACATGGTGCATGAAACCACATTCTGCCGAAAACAAGGTTGTTTGATGAGGTTTCATTTGATACATTTCAATTTTACGGAAAATGTGAACTCCAAGCCTCTCTAAACCATTTCAGTGCCTCTCGCTACGTCTCCAAGCCTCTACAATTCTGTCTCCTCGTCCAAAATTCTGATCTTCAACATTCGGCTTTTACATTCAACAAACGCCTTGTGAAAAATCTCAAAACTTTTTAATAATTCATGAACAATTTATATTAAGGTGTCTACTTTAATTGAGATTAAGACTTCTTTTTTGTTTTTCTAAATTTCACAAATTCTTAATCGTTTGCAGAACTATTGGAGCTTTATATAAATTTTATATAATTTTACTAGTGCAATCATTCAGGAATCATAACTGTATGAGAACCAACTCACAAAACATACAAGTTTTTGCTTAAAAGCACAAATTAAATATTTTTTCTATTAAAATTGAGCATTTTTATTCATTATCATCATCATCAATATAAAAATATCTCTTACAGCTAAACATTATGTTGACCACAAGAAAATACATGCTTAGTACATAAATACATGCTTAGTACATAAATACATGCTTACTAAGCTAGTACATAAATACGAATTTAAAACACAAAACTTACAAACTAAGTTAAACAATAAAAAACAGCAAAAATTGTTGAAATTTTAAAACCGTGGATGGCAAGCCCAATTTACACCCTTAAAACTAAAAGCTCTGTTTGATCAGTGACCAAGAATTTGGTAACCAGGTTTTTTTTTTTGTGACGAACATTTCTTGGCTTTAAGAAAGACTGGAGAAAATATCAGAAATAAACATTTTTGTCAGAAGAAAAACGACGTTATCTTCCACATGTTTGATCAGATTAAGGATTCAAGGGCACTGTTGTGAATCGTTGATGTCCCTCTTTAAATTCAAAATTATGATGCAGTCCTAGTATGTATGTTTATAACCCTCCATTAAAATTATATACCTTGAAGATTCACAACAGTACCCATTCAAGTTAAAGTAATGATATGCAGTGTCATTGCATATCGTTGTAAATCGTTAATGGCACTCTGCATTTAAAAAGAGCATCGAAAAAATTTAAATTTCAAAAATAAACTTTTGAACATAATTCATCGTGGCCGTGTTTTGTTAACGAAAGCATATTCGGAATTACAAACATTTTGGTCGAAAAAAAATTGTGAGATATCTCTATCTCATTATTCAGAACAAAATGTTCATAATTTCAAAATTGATACAGTGGTCGGCGTTTATATCAATACAATGAAGACGACTTTTTAATTAAGTTTTGATTTCAAACAAGCTTTTTTTAAATTACAAGTTTACAAGTAAACAAAAGAGAAGCTCTTAATTGGCCGATTTTCTTTGTTTCAATGTTTATATATATCCATTATATTTTAAAACTTTGTATAAATCAAAATTTAGATATAAAGTCGTCTTTATTGTATTGATATATACGACGAAGACTGTAGTTGGATAGTTAGATTCAAGCCGAGCATGGTAGTTGATGATAGTTAAGATGGAAGCCTCTGTTCATATAATCAATAGAGTTTGTCAGCTCATCAGAATCTGTCACAACACGGAACAAAAACGGCCTGGATAAAAAACTATGAGTGAAGAAACAGTTTTCTCTGTTTAAACCACAATGTGACTTTAAATTGAAAGGTTTTATTTGGATTCACAACGATATATTTTAAACCTAAATCTCATTATTTTTTTAAATTTTAAATTTGAAAATTGCTAAATTGCAAGTGAACTGGGCTTTCTGTAAAAGTGACGTACAGATTTATGCAGAAGAGACATCGAAAGGAATGTCTTAATAAATCACTTTTCAAAATGATGATATCTTTTTATTGTTTCTATGATAAAGGTTTAAGAGGTATCAGTTTTAATTGTGCTTATGAATATCTAATTTAAGTATGATGGGTTACTTGATATTACATCGACATTAATTAATTAATTAATCTACAACTCCATTTCTATAGATTATTATTAGATAAAAAATTGGAGGATTTTTAGGGAATATACGTATTGCTTACTTTGAGTAAGAGAGGATGGGTTGTCTCATGTTTTGTACGCCAAGAGAATTTCCACAAAACCTAGATTTGTAAAATACAGTTAAACCCTAAATAAGCCATACATCGAAAGAATTTACCAAATGTCGTATTCTTCACTTTGTGAAAATGGAATGTTGCAGATATTTAGTCTTTTAATTAAATGATTATATGGATCTCTATAAAACCGTTCCCACATATTTATGGCTATTTATTTGTTTTCGCAATTACTGAGGTTTACGTAAAAATTGTCAAGACGACCTTCCATAAGTTCTTCCCATGTATTTAATATTTAGGGAAGGTTCATGGATAAACAACAACAAAAACATGTCAACCGATTTATTTTCATGAATAAAATGTAAAAAATGACCTGTCCGTGGAAAAGTGTGATTTATCATTTTTACAGTGTCCCCCAGGGATTAGTAAATAATCAGACTTACAACTTCTTCCATTAGCTGATCCATGAGTCTCCTGCAGATACATGCATACAGTAATAATCACAAACAATCAGAATTTATTTACAATTTATTAGACGAATTTAAAATTGCCTTTGATGAAAAAATTATTACACAATAGCCCTAGTCCTGCCATATCTAAAATGTGGTTTGCCGTTTTTGGGCTTTCAAAATCACCGAGGATACGAAAGGGTTACGAAAGATTTCATTCGAAATAAAATATTTTTTGTTTTATTTAATAAAATGAAATTTTACCAAAATTCTTTATATCTCTACTCTGGTAATTTTGAAAGCACAAAAAAGGCCACATATTTGTAAAATTAGATTAACAAATGCATGCCATGAAGGTTATAATGCAAGAAAAGTTATTTCAGTGGTGTACGCATCTTTTGTACTGTACTGCAGTGTACTGTCTCTGGGCGGTAATGTAAACACAAGGCGGATGTCACAGCCTGAGTCCTGACATGGGATCCATCTTTCACAAAAAATCAATATATTTTGGTCTTAGGAAACTATTAGGTGAATTATCAAACTTTCAAAATTCAATGTTTTTATCCTCCTCGGATACTAAACGAACAGTGCATGATGCATCTATTCTTGTTTACAAATTCCGCCTAGAGAGAACTGTTTTTAATATGAACGCACAGCATACGAAACTGCAATTAACTTTCCTTGCATTATAACCTTAAATGCCGAAAACTATTTTAAAAGATCAAAGAAGCACAACCTCTTTCAATTTTCAATTTGATCTTTACAATTATTTTAGTTATACTATTACTTTACAAGAAAATATATTTATAAGAATAGCGCAAAAATATGTAATTCTGGGGAGGAAAATGATTTTCAAAAAAAGGCGGGGAGGAAAGAAAAATTACTACACGAGAAAATATACCAATGTACCTGATCTTGTTGGTTTTCTTGCAGATCTGTTGTGTTGGTTAAACTGAACGAACCGGGCTCAGCTGCCTATATAAATATATCTTGAAGATTAGTTGTGTTGGTTAAACTGAACGAACCAGGCTCAGCTGACTATATAAATATATCTTGAAGATTAGTTGTGTTGGTTAAACTGAACGAACCGTGCTCAGATGCCTATATAAATATATCTTGAAGATCAGTTGTGTTGGTTAAACTGGAGGAACCAGGCTCAGCTGTCTGCATAAATATATAATAAAAAAGGGCTGGGCATCGTTAAAAAAATCATTTTGTTCTGAATTTTTATAAAAAACGAACCTTTTCTTAGAAAAGCAAACAGTTAATACGGAAGTGTTAATGACAACCCAATAGTTTTCAAAATTTGATTAAGTAAAATTGGTGAGAAGTTTAATCTTAACTGGAGTGTAAGTGTAATTTCAAGTGACCATCCATGCAAAGCATGGCAATGCCAATATAACCGATATATAAGTTAAGTATTGAGTTAAATATGTATATAAGGTACCTGGGAGTATTCTGTTAAGAATATATTAGGTTAAATATGGAAATAAGGTACCTGGGAGTATTCTGTTAAAAATATATTGGGTTAATTATGGATATAAGGTACCTGGGAGCATTCAGTTCAGAATATATTAGGTTAAATATGGATGTAAGGTACCTGGGAGTATTCTGTTAAGAATATATTGGGCTAAATATGGATATAAGGTACCTGGGAGTATTCTGTTAAGAATATATTGGGTTAAATATGGATGTAAGGTACCTATGAGTATTCTGTTCAGAATGTATTGGGTTAAATATGGAAGGTACCTAGGAGTATTCTGTCCAGAATATATTGGGTTAAATATGGATGTAAGGTACCTGGGAGTATTCTGCTCAGAATATATTGGGTTAAATATGTATATAAGGTACCTGGGAGTATTCTGTTAAGAATATATTGGGTTACATATAGATGTAAGGTACCTGGGAGTATTCTGTTAAGAATATATTGGGTCAAATATGGATATAAGGTACCTGGGAGTATTCTGTTCAGAATATATTGGGTTAAATATGGATGTAAGTTACCTGGGAGTATTCTGTTAAGAATATATTGGGTTAAATATGGATGTACCTGGGAGTATTCTGTTCAGAATATATTGGGTTAAATATGGATATAAGGTACCTGGGAGTATTCTGTTAAGAATATATTGGGTTAAATATGGATGTAAGGTACCTGGGAGTATTCTGTTCAGAATATATTGGGTTAAATATGGATATAAGGTACCTGGGAGTATTCTGTTAAGAATATATTGGGTTAAATATGGATGTAAGGTACCTGGNTAGTGGGGAATCCCTTTAATCCTACCTTTATCTTCCATGCTCTTCTAGTGGGGAATCCCTTTAATCCTACCTTTATCTTCCATGCTCTTCTAGTGGGGAATCCCTTTAATCCTACCTTTATCTTCCATGCTCTTCTAGTGGGGAATCCCTTTAATCCTACCTTTATCTTCCATGCTCTTCTAGTGGGGAATCCCTTTAATCCTACCTTTATCTTCCATGCTCTTCTAGTGGGGAATCCCTTTAATCCTACCTTTATCTTCCATGCTCTTCTAGTGGGGAATCCCTTTAATCCTACCTTTATCTTCCATGCTCTTCTAGTGGGGAATCCCTTTAATCCTACCTTTATCTTCCATGCTCTTCTAGTGGGGAATCCCTTTAATCCTACCTTTATCTTCCATGCTCTTCTAGTGGGGAATCCCTTTAATCCTACCTTTATCTTCCATGCTCTTCTAGTGGGGAATCCCTTTAATCCTACCTTTATCTTCCATGCTCTTCTAGTGGGGAATCCCTTTAATCCTACCTTTATCTTCCATGCTCTTCTAGTGGGGAATCCCTTTAATCCTACCTTTATCTTCCATGCTCTTCTAGTGGGGAATCCCTTTAATCCTACCTTTATCTTCCATGCTCTTCTAGTGGGGAATCCCTTTAATCCTACCTTTATCTTCCATGCTCTTCTAGTGGGGAATCCCTTTAATCCTACCTTTATCTTCCATGCTCTTCTAGTGGGGAATCCCTTTAATCCTACCTTTATCTTCCATGCTCTTCTAGTGGGGAATCCCTTTAATCCTACCTTTATCTTCCATGCTCTTCTAGTGGGGAATCCCTTTAATCCTACCTTTATCTTCCATGCTCTTCTAGTGTGGAATCCTTTTAATCCTACCTTTATCTTCCATGCTCTTCTAGCGGGGAATCCCTTTAATCCTACCTTTATCTTCCATGCTCTTATAGTGGGGAATCCCTTTAATCCTACCTTTATTTTCCATGCTCTTCTAGTGGGGAATGAAGCTGTTGCTAAGTTCTCTGAGTCTACTAAACTAACAGTAATATGTTTTCCTGATTGTCGATCTTGTATTTCACGCAGGCCTTCAGATGCAGGGGTTGCCTAAACAAAACAAATAATTGGCTTCTACGAGCTATTCAATATCCAACCCCAGGGAAGGTTTATTAATGGCTTAAGTTTAGAATTTTGTCTTCAAAAGTTAAAATTTACCAATAAAAGCAGACACCAATGATAACAGAAAAAATTTATAAAATACAGCATCTTTCAAATATACAAAGTTTACAAGCAATAAATACGACGACGACTGTATAAGAATACTACCTTGAAAATACCAAATTTATCTGGGCAGGAGTACATAGATTCTTGGAGATCAGACAACATCAGGTTTAAATCAGTTGTTGCACGATCAGCTACATCTAAATCAAGATTAAATCATATGAAGCAAGATCTAGTACATCTAAATCAAGATTAAATCAGATGTATCATGATCTGCTACATCTAAATCAAGATTAAATCAAATGTAGCAAGATCTAATACATCTAAATCCAGATTAAATCAGATGTAGCAAGATCCACTACATCTAAATCAAGATTAAATCAGATGTAGCAATATCCACTACATCTAAATCCAGATTAAATCTGATGTAGCAATATCTACTACATCTAAATCAAGATTAAATCAGATGTAGCAAGATCTACTTCATCTAAATCAAGATTATAAATCAGATGTGGCAAGATCTACTACATCTAAATCCAGATTAAATCAGATGTAGCAAGATCTGCTACATCTAAATCAAGATTAAATCAAATGTAGCAAGATCTAATACATCTAAATCCAGATTAAATCAGATGTAGCAAGATCTACTACATCTAAATCCAGATTAAATCAGATGTAGCAAGATTTGCTACATCTAAATCCAGATTAAATCAGATGTAGCAAGATCTAATACATCTAAATCCAGATTAAATCAGATGTAGCAAGATCTGCTACATCTAAATCAAGATTAAATCAGATGTAGCAAGATCTATTTCATCTAAATCCAGATTAAATCAGATGTAGCAAGATCTACTTCATCTAAATCAAGATTATAAATCAGATGTGGCAAGATATACTACATCTAAATCCAGATTAAATCAGATGTAGCAAGATTTGCAACATATAAATCCAGATTAATTCAGATGTAGCAAGATCTACTACATCTAAATCCAGATTAAATCAGATGTAGCAAGATCTAATACATCTAAATCCAGATTAAATCAGATGTAGCAAGATCCACTACATCTAAATCAAGATTAAATCAGATGTAGCAATATCCACTACATCTAAATCCACATTAAATCAGTTGTTGCACGATCAGCTACGTCTAAATCAAGAATAAATCTCAGATGTAGCAAGATTTACTACATCTAAATCCAGATTTAATCGATGTAGCAGGATCTATTTCATCTAAATCCAGATTAAATCAGATGTAGCAAGATCTACTACATCTAAATCCAGATTAAATAAGATGTAGCAAGATCTATTACATCTAAATCCAGATTAAATCAAATGTAGCAAGATCCACAACATCTTAATCTAGATTAAATCAGATGTAGCAAGATCTAAATCTAAATAAGATCAGTTGTAGCAAGCTCTATTATACATCTGAATCAAGATTAAATCCGTTGTTACTCTATTTTACATCTAAATCAAGATAAGATCAGTTGTAGCAAGCTCTATTATACATCTAAATCAAGATTAAATCAGTTGTAGCTCTATTTTTACATCTAAATCAAGATAAGATCAGTTGCACATCTAGATCAAGATTAAATCTATATTTAATAGGATTAAATTCACAAATCCTCGAAAACGCTTATACTTATTAATTTTTAATGAAATGAAAAAATGGATATTAATAATAATTTCAATGCTAACATTAAATATATAAATATTCATTACCAATCCAATGAATAATATTAATAATTTTAAGTGCAAACATTAATTACCAATTTGTTACTAATGCAATGGATAATATTTTTTTTAAAATGCTGACCTATATACATATGATGCCCCGTGTTTTCTCCACATAGTAATGGATACCTTCCGTTGGCGTTTAGGTACATTTTATCCAATCTAGACGTTATAAAAAATGTGAAAGGAACAATGAAATTAAATGCCATTCTGAAAAGATAGTATCTCTACGCACTAAGCACAGTCGTAGCTCGTAACTCGTAAATATTAAGACAATCAAGACAACTTTCATAGTTTCAGTAGAAGTAAATATTTACATTTACTGATACCGCCAATGCAATTGAAGGACTAATATCTCTAATTGGATAATAAGATACATATTAAGATAGATGTTACCGCCATACAATTTTTATTGGTTCAGAATAGACAACAAACACATGACTGAACCCTGATTGGATCAGGCGCTAATGGGCTCGGCATACAGGAGTGTCAATTTCAATTTTGATTTTTACCAAGCTGTTCAAACATTATGAATACACATAAACATGGACACTAGGAGAAGCTGTCAATTAACTGCTTGGTAGAGATCAAAACGTAAAAAAGGTTGTCTTCACTGTATTGATATAAACGCCGACCACATGTTTGCAACCGAGTGTGATTTTGTCTTGCGTTTTTTTCTGAAAATTAAAAGCACTTCCCTGTTGTGATTCTTAGATGGTACACTTAAAATTGGATTGGCATTCCATGAAGAAATTGTTTTGTTTTTTATAACATTGAGCAATCATAAGTTTTATGTTTAAACCTTAACCCTGGTATTCGAAATTATGTGTTAAAAGATCAAAATTATCTAAAGAAACTGATTCCTCGCCACAAAATCTATTTTCTAATTTATTTTTATGTAAACCTGAGGTGAGAACTTTTGATTTGTGGATATAGAGATCAAAAAGCAGAAAAAAAGAAATTCACCGTTTTGAATTTTTTCTTCAAAACGGCTAATCCGTTTTGTTAACGACTTAAAAATTAACGGTTTTTTTCCGTTCGTTAATCGTTGTGGCCTCTTCCGTTTATTTTCAAAACCTCCGTTTCGTTAACAGAACAATTTGCTCAGCCTGAGACAGATACAGTGAAGATTGCCATTAATGTATTATTTAATTTTGAAGTTTCCTTTGCGGTGTGGATAAATTGTGTGGATATGATCAAGCATGATTTTGATCTAAAGTTTAGCAAACTTTTCTATTTTTTCTTGACTTAGAAAAACCTACCTGCAGGTTCCCACTAGTGGAGGCTGAACTACCTGCAGGTTCCCACTAGTTGAGGCTGACCTACCTGCAGGTTCCCACTAGTGGAGGCTGACCTACCTGCAGTTTCCCACTAGTGGAGGCTGACCTACCTGCAGGTTCCCACTAGTGGAGGCTGACCTACCTGCAGGTTCCCACTAGTGGAGGCTGAACTACCATTTCCGTAAAATCCAATCTCAGTTGACAGATTGAAGACGATTCTACAAAAAGAACAAAATTTATTATTTCGTCGTAAAATAAAAGTTATAAATTTCATGTACAGAGTACACTGATTACCAGAAAACTCCGAAATAGAAAGACGACTTTGTAGCAACATTAAAGTGTATTTGAACTTGTCATAAATCAAATAGTTTTACTAGACACTTATTAAATCACTTATTAAGTTCACACTGCGGTTAGAACAGTCTAAGGGCCGAGCACTGCGGTTAGAACAAATTTGGAAAGTTATCGCTTGGGGAAATGCCTTTGGGAAAGTACCTTACATCGATAAAACATGTGCCGTATATGCATTCAGTCATACTGTCCAGTCTGGACTACCCAATGTAATGTCGACCCAGCACGTTTTTGAAACAAATGTAGCCAGGCAAGATCACAATGAGACAATCTCACCTCCTATTTAAACATTGACTTTAGAACCTTTTTTCCAAGACATAGTCAGAGACCCCCCCCCCCCCCGGAATTTTAAGTTAACGAACCTGTTAGAGGACATCCATGATCAACTGTAAGTTGACAAGTTAGATTACCAAGTCCAACACTAGCAGGATAGGCGGGGGATACAAAATTAAATTCCTAAAATACATTTTCTAAACACTTATTTTTATTTCCATTTTTGCTGCATTCTCAATTCTGCAAAAAATTAGCTGTAATTTTATTCAGTTAGTTTAGATATTTGTTCTTTTAGATAATTTATGGTATTTTAAAGAATTCATTAAAAAGATTACACTTACCCCAGATGAAGTAACATCACCACAAGTAAAGGAAGACATTTCTCTTTGCAAACTCTAAAATTTTATATAGTCTATATAATAAAACAACACATTCATATATATGATGCCTATATCAAAAGAACCGTTTTGAAAACGTTGATTCCAGAAATAAAGTTTTAAACAATTTTATTATCCATGCTGCCATAAAAACTTTTAATATTTAGTTTTCAGGTACAAAGCTTCCTTATATTCATAATTCTCTACTACTGACAACTTGTTTCTTTCTTTCCTACAGCAATAAATTAGCTATCCAATATCAGTATTTAAGGCAGAAGACCATATTCAACCTTTAATTTGTCACATTTACAAAGTTTTAGTCGTATTTACAGATTGTTCTTATACCTTTTAAGTGAAATGGGTCTGTTTAAACTGAATAGTTACTGCGTCTTATTAAAGTCAGAACTTGAGTCTAAAGTCGTGTTCCTCATGAATATAACTCACATTGATAAAATTAAAGAAACGAACTTTTAACAGAAAAAAAAGGATTAAACTAAAGAAACGGACTTTTAAAATAAAAATTTAATTTTCAAAAATTCAGTTTTACCTGACCGAGGGTAGGCGAGGAGAGGAAGATAAAGATAAGAGGTAATCCTCGTCCTAGTAGAAAACCATTTTTTAATGAAAAATAACTATTTTCAAGCATTTGATAGAAACTCATTAAACTTTGCCTGTAACTCATAACACGTTGAAAGTAACTCATAAAACTTTGATAGAACTCATAACTTTGATAGAATAGCATATAACTTTGATTGAAATCTCATAAACTTTGAAAGAATCTCATAAAACTTTGATAGTTTTTAAGGTGAATGAAATTATTTTAATAAAAATGAAAATTCTAATTAATTGATTTTATTCCTGATATTTTGGCGTACATCTCTATACTCTCATTGAATGTGTGGATAAAATTATGTTATATACCACCAACCCAACAACCAGCTGTAATTAAAACAGGTGTATATTATAATATTTCTTTTCATCCATCTTCATATTTTTAAGAAGTAACAAAAAAAGTTGTTAAATATACTTTTTTATAATGTCAAAGTTTTTCCATTTTTTTCTCAACTATTTAACCCTGTGAACCCTTGTCAACTACAAAATGAAGTCAATTAATAAGTATTATTTATTGCATACTTATTCAATAGAAACAAGCCTAATTATTTAACACTGAGTATAGATACATCTATAATACGTGTCAATCGATATCATTTTGATGTTAATATTCCTGGTATTACGAAATGAACTAATCTCCATATCTTCGCATCCTGATATTGCAGACATACAGTTATCAAATTTTGAATTCTACTTGATCAACGTGTCCAGGTTTGATATATTATACAGTGAGAACCAGAAAACTGTGAAATAGAAAGACGACATTAAAACAATACTAAATTGTTTCGGATTTCGTTACAAAGCAAATAATTTTACTTGTGATTTATCAAATCAATGATTTTGTGAAATAAATCTTATTACATAAATTGATTCCGTATACGCATCTTCCTGTTCCGAAGTGTTCTGATTCTCACTGTATGTTTACACCATCAGGTAGCAAAGATATAGGAATTCAAAAATTGAGTTGAAAGAAAGTTCAGCTCAGAGTTTAAGCTGGAAATAATTTCCAAGAAAATTATTGAGAAGTTCTGCAACTAAATGGCAACAGACTTTTACCTCAACTATAATTTTCTACTCCCTTCATCTTTGCAACCTGAATTGGGATAAAGAGATTGGAAAATTAGAGTTGGTCACGATTGATCTGTTTCATTGAGATCTGTTCTATTTTTTGATATTTTAAAATCAATGAATTTAAATAAAAGGAAGTGAGTCTTTGCCCCAAACTCATATTTTCTAATCTAATTATCTTGGCAATCTGATTGTGCAGACCTTTGATATTTTAAACTAAGATTATTTGATCTAAGAGAATTCATAATTGAGAATTCTAAGGTCTAAGGCATTGGGTTGCAAGGATGAAGGGAGTAGAAAATCAGAGTTTGGGAGAAAGACTCAATTCCTTTAATGTTTGTTCTTTTTTCTACATCATTGTTTTATTTGTAAATAGTTGAAGTGCCCGGCGTTGCCCGTGGGAAATTTTTTTTTAAAAATGTTGAAAAAAAAAATTAGAAAAAAAAATATAAATTTTTTAACCTATAACACCCCCCGGCCACCCCTGAGTGTTCACAAAAAAATTTCAGTCCAATCGGTCCAGCCGTTTGGCCGGCTATAGGCAACATATATAATATATTTATATAGGAATGTCTTGTTTTATTACATAGATTTTATGGATCAAGTAGAGCATACTATCGTTACTACGTCATTTCACTTTTTTACTTCTCAAAAATGTAAATTAAAGGAAATCTTTACCTAGAAATAAAGCACACCTTGCAGTTTTCTTTTTCTTACAATAGGTATATATTACTTTTACATAATAAATTCAGACACCTTTCAGGGATTTTTTTGAAAATCAAAATTTTCACTTGAGCTTTATTTTTCTTAAAATATATTGTTGTTCTTGTGTTTCTAATAAAATTTTGTAAAAATATGGGCACTGAGCACTTTGCACACTGTTGCATCTCTTTGTATTTTCTCAGTCTACGATATTCAGTCTAGCTTTCAGCATTCACAACTCAGGTTCATCTTATTATATTCAGGTTCAAGTTCATCTTATTATATTCAGGTTCAGGTTCATCTTATTATATTCAGGTTTAAGTTTATCTTATTAAATTCAGGTTTAGGTTCATCTTTTATATTCAGGTTTATCTTATTATATTCAGATTCAGGTTTATCTATTATATTCAGGTTCACGTTCATCTTATTATATTCAGGTTTAGGTTCATCTTATTATATTCAGGTTAAGGTTCATCTTACTATATTTAGGTTTAAGTTTATCTTATTAAATTCAGGTTTAGGTTCATCTTCTATATTCAGGTTTATCTTATTATATTCAGATTCAGGTTTATCTATTATATTCATGCTCAGGTTCATCTTACTATATTCAGGTTTAGGTTCATCTTATTATATTCAGGTTCAGGTTCACCTAATTATATTCAGGTTCATCTTATTAAACTAAGGTTTAGGTTCACATTTCATTTACGGGTTAATTGTCAGAATCATTTTCAGTTTTACATTAAAGGTTTAGTTTTACGTTCAGGTTTAGGTATTTCTGATATCTATGTAAGAACAGTCGGAGGATATAATTCAGGTCGTTCATGGTTTAACTACAATGGTCGGCGTTCATATCAATATAACGAAGACGACTTTTCTATCTAAGTTTTGATTTCTAACAAGTTTTTTCGAATTACAAGTTTACAAGTAAAGAAATAGAAGCTGTTAATTGGCAGCTTCTCTTTGTTTCTATTTTTATGTGTATTCATGCTGTTTAAAAGCTTTGTAGAAATAAAAAATTTAAATCGGAAGTAGTCTTCATTGTGTTGATATATACGACGACAACTGTAGTTCGAGACTTCTGTATTTAATTTAGAAATTTTTTTTTTTCATTTTTTTTCCTTTCGTTTGTTTTTATTTAATTTCTTGTGACAAGGTCAGACAGCTGCACACACACAGGTCATTTACACAAATAGATTTTAACTCAAGGAAAATTACAAAAATATATTTTTTGCGTTTAACTGTCAAAATTAGTCAGTATTTTACACTGAGGAATTTAACAGAGAAATAGAGGGGGGGGGGGGGCTGTTATTTTTTGTTTAAATATTTTTATAATTGATGTTAAGGAAATACCGACCCATCACATAAATCTGTCTAGACTTGAACATTTTTAAATTCAGGGAAGCATCAAGGGGGAATCAATATATATAATTTGCTTGTCTGGGTGTCTGTCTGTTTGTTTGTTTATATCCAATAAACGTCAAAACGGCTTAATTGATCCAGGCCTCACATTACCCTCGGGAAGGTTCAAACGGGATATTTAGAATTTTAAAAATTTATCAGTGTGCTGTAAAAAATAAATGACAATGGCAATTGGCAACCAACATTTTAAATAAGTTTACAAGACTTTTCTCAGTAATTCGCCCCCGGCCCCCCCCCACCCCTCCAAATAAAGTAATAAAGTAGGAGAGGGGGAGGGGGGGGGGTAACACCCGGCCTTGCTTACAGAAAGATGCAGTTTTGTTTTCTCAGGGATATGTCTGATTACGCAACCAGGCGTCCTCCATCAGGACGAGGACTGTCCTCTAGTATCTGGCCGTCCTCTCTCTCACATCCGTCCTCCAGCTCTCAACCTCTACATTACGGAGGTGCTGGATACAGCTCAGTAAGAGCGACCTCAGAGGTATAAGATGCTTGATCCGAGCCGGTACATCATAAGCATTCAATCGTACCGTCCAGTCTGGACTTCCCAGTGTAGAGTCGATCCAGCACGTTTTATGCATCACATGTAGCCTGGCAATATTAGCAAAATATTTTTCAAAAGGAACTGTCCCCTTATAATTTCACATGACACTTTCATAGACAAACCACAATTTAAGAAAAAACATTTCAAAAGAAAAAACTAATAAAGGAAGAATTTTTATTCTTGTCAGTCATTTTTTCTTCCCTGGAACTAAGGATTCGCCTTGAAACTAATATAATAACTCCTATATCTTTGCAACTTAATGGTGTAAACTGATGATATTTCAAACTAGCTTTGACTAAATGTCAAATTCCTAGCAGAGTTCATAGTTTTAAAGCAGGTTGCAGAGATATATTGTATTTAAACTTCTACTCATTAAAGATTTTGTTGTCTCAGAAAATATTTATTTAAAAACAACTAAGATGTATACATGTATGTACATTTAAACAAGTGGAAAACATTATAGGATATCTTATTGGCTTATCCTAGCAGATTTAGAAGTTTGAAAACAGGTTGCAGAGATGTAAGGAAATAAATATAGGGTTGGGACGGGTGATTAATTTCTTTAGATTTAGGTGTTTGTTGCAAAGGAATGAGTATTTGTCACAATTTCGAATTTTCTAATTACTATATTTTTGCAACCTGATATTTTAAACTTGGATCATTTGATAAAACAGTTTTCAAAGGTCTCAGACATTGGTAAGATTTAAGGATTAGATAATCGGAGTTTGTATTTAGATTTATTTTATAGTTTTCCTCTGATCTGTTCGGGAGACGGTATGGGTTTCCAGAATACAGAACATCAAACATTGGTTAGATATTTTCTTGCACGGACCTTTCAATTCTAATCTTACACGACACATTAGCATTTTCCCAAGTGGAGGGGTGAGGAATGTAGGAATTTATAAAAAGGGACTGTAAGCGTAATTTAAATATAAAAAAACTTTTCGAGTCAGAAAAACGATGTTATCTTCAATCTTTTTTATATCAGATTAAGGTTTCAAGGGTATCACTGTAGCCTGTTTGGAATGTAATTTGAAATTATGCTTACAGTCCCTTTAAACATCTATATCACATAATAATAAAGTTTACAGGTTTAGCACATAAAGTCAGTCCCATAGGAAGATGAACATACATTACCCATAATGACGTTCGCTTGGTAAAATGCCTTCAGGAAATTTCATCGGGATTTTTTTTTTAATTAGAAAATAGTTTGGGCCTTTTAAACATTTTTTTGTTTTGTAATTCTATTTTATCCAGAAATTCGTCACACCTCACCATTTCCTACAGAATCTGGTTCTTATATACCAAGGTAGGATTATGCATTTATTTTACCTGAGCTGAAAACTTTTGAATGGGATATCCTTTATCCCGATGTTGCCAAAATCTGCATTTGTTTTGCATTAAATATAATTTTTATTTTTTTGCAACCTTAATAGATTTAAAGTGTAATGTCAAGTAACGGGCCCCGGTCCTCATGAATACAGTCTCCTATCCGATTCACAACGGTACCCTTCCACTGCACAAGGATGATGTAGATATCTTTGATATATATTTGAAAATTGAGTTCCAGAAGACTGGAGAACGTGCTAGTGTAAAATATCGGTTTCCCGCGGAATCTAAAAACACTGCCTCGTAAGATTTTCAAATATTTTAGAACCACAAGAAGAACTATTTCTGTAACTTCCCTGGATTCAAGAAACTCGGTTCCTTTAAGGTATTCTTCCCAGGGACTGTAAAGGAAAATGAAAGGGGGGTATAGGCTGAAACTTGAGAATCTGAGGAATTGATTGAGACCTATAAGAGTTCTATCTGATGTTCTTGTCTCGAGAAATTGATATAAAACTGTGTAAAACAGATCATATTCAACAAATACTCAACCAATCTGGAAACGAGGATATACCAGAGGAGCCTGAGAAACTCAAGTTTGCTCCTAATGTTATTTGAGTTTAATAATTTTTTAATTTTAATAGATATAATTGATAATATTATTTATACGTCCGGACCATGTCACCAGCACTCCAACCAATGGCAGTGCAGTATTGTTGTCACGTGCCTACGATCTGTATAATGTGACCAGTATACTGCACTGTCATTGGAGGGAATTCTGGTCACGTGATATGGACATATATATTACATGTATACGTTTTGGTATAATTTTGACACAGTATTATATCAATTTCTCAAGACAGGAACATCACATAATTGTCTTATATGTATTGTTCAAGTCCTGAGATTCTCAGGTGTCAGCATATACACCCCTTTCATTTTTCCTTTACAGTCCCTTTAAAGGGGTTTAAGGCCCGATTCACAACGGTACTATGTAAACTTTTATCGGGAGGAACATACATATACACGCAACTTCACTATTTTTTTAATGCTGCATAAATCCGCAAGGCACTTTCATTTCAGAATTAAATATAATCAATTTCCAAATAAAAGCATGAGGATATTTTTGAAATATGTCAAAACACTTTAGATTGAGGATTCCTTTAGATACAGGGTGTCCCAATAAACATAGGAATTCAGTGACGAATTCGATATCGTCTTTTAAAATAAGTCTTTGATTTAGTATAGTGATACCTACCGAGAAAGCTGTAATCTGTAAGAGTTTCGTCTGCTATGTTCACATTTTGTTTGTTTATGTTTTGACTGCATACGGTTGTACTTAGAAAACAAGAAAATTACATTATACAAACAGAATAAACTTGTCCGTCTTCACTGTTCATCTTGCGGAGACATTTTAGACACATCTTTGCAGACTTTTACCCTTTTCATAAAGTAAACTCTAGCAGACATAACAATATTAAGGCTTTTGAAATCAGGTGTTACAATGCTAATTCATAACAAAGATGATATCCAATTCGTCACTGAATTCCCACGTTTATTGGGACTCCCTGTAACATTGTTAAACCCTTTAAAAATATAATTTATGTTTAGGCTTCATGGCTCTGAAGGGGATAAAGGTCGTCTTTTCTCTGATATAAAATATGCTTATCCTTCAACTTCAAGAGAAAGCGTCTCAAGGTCTTCTTTTTCATGATCTTAAGTATAATAAAATCTTGCAATAAATTAATTATAAAGAATTTTAATTTAACATTCTTATCCTAAAGTTATCACTTGTATTTATATAAAAGATTAATGTTGAAACTTAGATTAGTTTAATTGGATTAATTGATCTGCACATTTTAGCTACAGGGTGTCCCACGAAACATGACAGTTGGTAAATAGTTTTGAATGTCGTCTTCCATACACTGTATTAAATAGTAAAGGCTGTTTGCAACTTATTTCGTTTATTTAAAAACTTTGGCTTAAATATATTTTACTTTGAATTCAATTTTACTACAGGGTGTCCCACGAAACATGACAACAGCAAGACGACTTGAATTTATTTGTGGCATTTAGTCTTCTATCTACTTGAACATGTATGATTCTTGAAACAATTGTCCCATGATTCTCCTAGCCCTGGCATTTCCCAAAAGTGACTTTGAAAAATCCATGGAAATCGAATTCGAAACCCAGCACATTTCCGAATACGAGATTACTTTTTGATGGGTTAAAACGGCATTTTATAGCAAAATAATTCATAGACTAAAACTATGTTTTGTAGGCTTTTAGCTTATAGACATTTTTTTCATAAAATTAATATTTTTCATAAAAATAAAATTTTTCATAAAATTAATATTTTTCATAAAAATAATATTTTTCATAAAGATAATATTTTTTCATTTTTTTCCAGAAGTTTGAGATCGTCTAGGGCATCTACTCCCAGGGGCAACATTACTAGGTAACATACAGTTAAACCCTAAATAAGCCATACATCGAAAGAATTCATAAAATGTCGTATTCTTCACTTTCTGATAATGGAATGTTGTAGATATTTAGTTTTGTAATTAAATGATTATATGGAGCTCTTTAAAACTGTTCCCGCATGTTCATGGCTATTTATTTATTTTCGCAAATGCTATGATTTACGTAAATTAGTATAAAACCCATTGAAAAATTGTCAAGACGACATTTGATAAATTCTTTCGATGTATTTAATATTTAGGGTTTAACTGTACTAACTCTTTTAAATGTTTAAGTTAATATTTTCATCACATTATAAATCCAATCTTAAAAATGTATCATTTACTCTCAGACAAATTAGAATCAATGGAAATTTAAACCCCCGAGGGATTCAATGATAAACCCGAGGGCGTAGACATTCCTTTTTAAAGAGAGGATTCAATGATAACCCCGAGGGCTTGAGAATTTTGCGGATTTTTTTGCCTTTGTAGATTTTCAAAGTATCTTTCAATGAAAATATCCCGGCGGGATTAAATGAAAATTGGTGCATACCAAAAAACCAGCTTTTTATAAAGGAATGCACTTTTTCTGAAGGAATGATATTTATGGTTTTTACTATGTAGGATCTCTGATTCTCCTCGAGGGTATTCTATGCACAGGTTAAACTTAAATACAAATATTATAGTTTTGGTTGTCATATTTAAAAATATTTTGTTATCACCACAACGATTTTTCATAACGATTAGAAATCGTTTTTCGTTTGTTCAGAAAAATCGTTTTATTTAATATCTTTGATCAGAGAAAGAAAATTGCATAATGCAATAAATCAAACTTATTGAGACTACAATTTTGCAATCAATAAAAATGTAGAAAATGCCTAAACTCCTCCATAGTCTTTATCAGCTTAAATGTGCTGTTTCAGTCTATCACAAACTCTATCCTCTTCACCTATCCAGTTAATACGATCCGTAAATACGCTGTTTCAATCTATCACAAACTCTATCCTCTCTACCTATCCAGTTATATACTATCCGTAAATAACATGAGTCTGTGTTGAACTGTCTATTTAGATAAAAAGGTGAAGGTAAATAAGTTGACCGCAAAAAGGGTCGATGAACTAAATAACGTATATTTACGGGTTACAAAGATATAATTAAATAGGGTTTTATATTACATACAGGGTGTCCCAGAAAACATGGGAATTCAGTGACGAATTCGATATCGTCTTTGTTATGAATTAGCATTGTAATACCTAATTTCAAAAGCCATAATATCATTATGTCTGCTAGAGTTTATTTTATAAAAAGGGTAAAAGACTGTAAAGATGTGTCTATACTGTCTCCGCAAGATGAACAGTGAAGACGGACAAGTTTACTCTGTTTGTGTACTGCAATTTTCTTGTTTTACTAAGTACAACCGTATTCAGTCAAAACATAAACAAACAAAATGTGAACATAGCAGACGAAATTCTTACAGATTACAGATTACAGCTTTCTTTAAAAGACCATATCGATCGAATTTGTCACTGAATTCCCATGTTTATTGGGACACCCTATATACATAAACACATACAGACCATAGATTCTTGTGTACCTAGGATACAGACCCATTTCACATTATTAGTTATTTTTATCTGTTGGTAAAACTTGCTTTTAGAAACATAAAAAAGATTGTTGAAATGTCGTCTTTCTTGTTGAAATATTGTCTTCCTTCTCCACAGTATTATGTGTCCTACTGTTAAGTTTTTGTACAGCGTTTTTATCTAACATTTCTTTTGTGAGTTACTTAAAATAGTGATAGCATCTATGGAATATGTAGATGTTCCTCAAAGTTCTGAGAAGTGTTGCAAATTTTAAAATTGTTTATTCGAAACATCTGCCTTCCTTACACTATGCGAAATTTTGACCCTTAGGATACTTCTTATTTTGCAAAGTCTAATAACGCAAAACTTTAACAGATTACGGTTTGGTGGAGCCTTCACAATAATTAAAAGTTGGCAGTTTTTGTGGTGTGCCCTTTAAACTACAGTGATAACCAGAAACTGTAGAATAGGAAGACGACTTTACTGCAACACTGAAGGGCAATTGATGCTGTTATAAAACAAATAGCCTTACTAGCATGTTATTAAATCACTAAATAAGTGAAATGGGTCTCCTTACACTGAACAATTGCTGTGCCTCATGTTCATTGGACTATTTCAAGTCATATCTTGAGTCTAAAAGTTGCTCTTCTATTCCAAAGTTTTCTGTGAGAAATCGTTTTTCGTTTGTTTAGAAAAATCGTTTTAGTTAATGTCTAATTGATCACAGAAAGAAAATTGCATAATGCAATAAATCAAACTTATTGTGACTACAATTTTGCAATCAATAAACATGTAGAAAATGACTAAACTCCTCCATAGTCTTTATCAGCTTAAATGTGCTGTTCCAATCTATCACAAACTCTATCCTCTCCACCTATACAGGTTTATACGATCCGTAAATAACATGAGTCTGTGTTTAACTGTCTATTTAGATAAAAAGGTACAGGTAAATAAGTTGACCGCAAATAGGGTCAATGAACTAAATAACGTATATTTACGGGTTACAAAGATATAATTAAATAGGGTTTTATATTACATACAGGGTGTCTCAGAAAACATGGGAATTCAGTGACGAATTCGATATCGTCTTTGTTATGAATTAGCATTGTAATACCTAATTTCAAAAGCCATAATTTTACTATGTCTTCTAGAGTTTATTTTATAAAATGGTAAAAGACTGTAAAGATGTGTCTATACTGTCTCCGCAAGATGAACAGTGAAGACGGACAAGTTTACTCTGTTTGTATACTGCAATTTTCTTGTACTGAATTCCCATGTTTTTTGGGACACCCTGTATGATACAGACCCATTTCACATTATTAGTTATTTTTAGCTGTTGGTAAAACTTGCTTTTAGAAACATAAAAAAGATTGTTGAAATGTCGTCTTCCTACTCCCCAGTATTATGTGTCCCACTGTTAAGTTTTTGTACAGCGTTTTTATCTAAAAAATGTTCCTTCTTGGGGCGAGTTACTTAAAATAATGATAGAATATGTAGGTGTTCCTCAAAATTCTGAGAAGTGTTACAAATTTTAAATTAGTTTTTTCGAAACATCTGTCTTTCTTACACTATGCCAAATTTTGACCCTTAGGATACTTTTTATTTTGCAAAGTCTAATAACGCAAAATTTTAACAGATTACGGTTTGGAGGAGCATTCACAACAATCACAAGTTGGCAGTTTCTGTGGTGTGCCCTTTAAACTACGTTGATAACCAGAAACTGTGGAATAGGAAGACGACATTAGTGCAACACTGAAGGGCATTTGGTGTTGATATAAAGCAAATAGCCTTACTAGCTTGTTATTAAATCACTAATTAAGTAAACTGAACAATTGCAGCTGTGCCTGATATGTTCATTGGACTGTTTTGAGTAATATCTTGAGTCTAAATGTTGTCTTTCTATTCCAGAGTTTTCTGTTTATCACTGTATAAAAGTCTTTACGTGAAAATGTTTCCACAGAAAGCGTACTGCAATTTGTGGGGGGAATGCAAACAAGCTAGTGCTGACCAGGTTTTGTTTATCATGTCAAAAATATTTGAGTAAACAAAATATGCAAGTTCCTGAATTAATCTTCCTAACTTAAAGGGAGTGTATGCTTAATTTCGAGTAATTCTCCATGCAAAAATAGCAATAACCGATTCACAGCGATACCCATGCAACCGTTATTTTATCAAAACTATGGAAGAAATTTCTTCATAGTTTTTATAAGCAAGAAATGCGCAAATCACTTGCAGAGAAACCACAATTGAAAATAGACAGTTTTAATAAACAAAAACATGCATATTTAATTCATTCTGAATCAGACAAAGCTTTGAAGTATATCATTGTAAATCAGGCTCGGGCATTCCGCATTACCATCTTTGCGTGGAGACCATAAACGCAGGTTTAAATTCCCCAAATCTTCCCACTAAAATTTAAGACAATTAGGAGTATGTTTTTTTTCATTTCAGGTAAAAAAGTGACGTTTTGCTGAAGAGAGAGAGAGGAAAAATAGAAATATAACAAGACGACATTCGAAACAAGAACATTAATTGAAATATAATATAATCTATAAAAATAAATGATATGGATTTTATTGTTAAAGATTGATTAGAAATTCAAGGAAATATTATCATAATAACCTATGATCTAAACAGAAATTAGGTTTTCAATTCATAATCTGAATTTATGAAGACGATTTAGAAATCTTCACTTTATCCCTTTGTAAAATTGTCCATTAAGAGTTATATATTCTTAGATATACAAGGATTCAATTTAAGTTTTCCTCTGTGGCATTCTCATCTTAAATTATCAAGCAATAACAAATTTAACGATTTAACGATTTTGTTTAAAATACTAACCATCCATAAACCTTCTCTGGAGTCATGTAAGGTCCCAAAGAAAATTTAGATATCCAGTAAATTGTAATGATAAGAGAGTACATATAACTTGAAAAAAGTTGGAATTATTGTTTAATTAGTGATAATATAACTTGAAAAAAGTTGGAATTATTGTTTAATTAGTGATAATATGCTCAAAATTTAAAAAATTGTACCAATATAACCTTTTCTTAATTGTAATAGACACAACTGATAAACTTTTAACATTTATTTAACAATAATCAAATAAAAGACAATTTATATAACTGTATCAATGGCATGAATGACACCATTACTGGCAAGAATATCAAATCTTGTGACAAAAGCTGACCCAGCCTCGCTGGTAACCTGGATAAAGTTTGACCTTTCGGCGGTAATAACGGCACCACCAGCGGTGGTTAGAGGAGTGCTTCCACTGGGGACATCTTTACCCTGAAAAAATAAAAAATGAAAAAAGATTGACAGAGAAAATATCAATAATATTTTATCAAAAATGTTTTGTTTTGTGAAAAATAAGATGTTTGATTTACAACGCTACCGGTTAAACTTGTATCTGATCAAGATATCAAAGATTGAATAACCCTGTATAGTTGTTCTAAAGTCTACTAATGTTAATCCTACATTCCACTCTACATAAATGGAGGGTCAGTTGAACTTATGCTTACAGTCTCTTAAAGGATAGTACTGTTAAGACGTATTTTAGGTAATTCTAAGGAAATTTGCGGGGATCATTTTATTTTTAAAAAGATAATAATCATAAAAACCATTTACCTGAAGAGCGGCTCCTGGAACAACGTGACGAAGAAGAACAGCAGTAAGAGCATCTTTGTCAGCTAGAAGTCCCTGAAGAGTCTCTTGGGGAATCTTCTCGAAAGCTCCGTTAGTGGGAGCAAAGACTGTGAAGGGACCCTCTCCGGCAAGAGTATCAACAAGACCAGCGGCTTGAACAGCTGCCAATAGGGTTGAAAACTCAGGAGATGCAACAACTAGTTCAGCAATATTTCCAGCTGGGGGAGCGGGGGCCTGTTTCACAAGAGGGGCCTGATGGAAAACAGGGGAGTGATGAACAGGGGCCTGGTGGACTGGGACATGGTGTACTGGGGCATGGTGTACTTGGGCATGATGAACTGGTGCATGTTGTACAAAAGATCCATGATGTACTGGAGCGTGATGAACTCCTGTATGATGTCCATGGTGTCCTGCAGGACCGTCGGCGAGAACACAGGACGCTAGAACAGATAGGATTGCAAAGCTCTTCATTGTTTGATGGTTGGAATTGAACTGATGAGTTTAAGCAGGGTTCACGTCTATTTATACCAGATTTCGACGCTACGGCGTTGGAGGAAGTGAAATAGAGTTTATGAAACAACCTTGGGAAATTTGGTAAGTGTTTAAGGTTACACAAGTTCAAAGCAGACACAGGCCTATAACCATGGGTAGGATATAGGTTAGGCAAGGGGGTTGGGTGCATGATGGGGGGGGGAGGCTGGCCACCATAGCAACACAGAGGAATTCAAAATCTCTACTTCTCAATACATCTAGCAAAAAATGTCAAGTTTTGATAAATTATTTATTGAAATTTTAAAATTCAATATTTGAAGAACATTTTTTTTCTGGGATATATTGCCAGGGTCAAATAATACATGATCAGATCTAGAAACCCGGATAAGATTTTATCTTGAAGTACAAAACTACAATATACAAAACTACAATATACCAAACTAACAATTCAAAACTTTAAAGCGACAGTAGACGTACTATTTAATGGGACCCCCTGTTTCAAATTCTTGTATCTTTAAACTTTAATCTGAGTAATACTGAGTAAGATATCCTGAAAAAAAGGTTCCATGTTCAGGCTGAGATTTGAAGGGTTCCTTTGAGAATCTGGCATGCTACTCTATAAATGTTGCCCATAAAGATAATTAAATGTTATTGTTGTAAATACGGTTTGTCATTGAATTGAGGTTTAATTGAAATTACATCTACTGGAGTCGATCTCTTTAAAAGTTTATGCAGATATACAGATGCAGCATATGAAAAAAATTACAGAATAAAAAATTTCAGACGTACATATAACGATTATTAAGAAATTACTTCTTCATAGATTGAGAACACAGATCTTTTAAATCCTAACTTGTCAAAAATCAAAACCAACCTTAGTCTTAAAAATTAAATATTTTAATACATAAGTCAGAGATTGTCATCTTTTATTTATTAAAAAAAGTCTTTAAATTGAAATAATCATCATCATATACATATTTTTGTGGTCACAATCACATCGCTAGAAATAAATTAATTACAAATTGTTAACACGACTAGCTATATAAATCTTAAAGGGAGTTTTTACGTCTAGCTATATAAATCTTAAAGGGAGTGTTCACGTCTAGCTATATAAATCTTAAAGGGAGTGTTTACGTCTAGCTATACAAATCTTAAAGGGAGTGTTCACGTCTAGCTATATTAATCTTAAAAGGAGTATTCACGTCTAGCTATACAAATCTTAAAGGGAGTGTTCACGTCTAGCTATACAAATCTTAAAAGAAGTGTTAACGTCTAGCTATATAAATCTTAAGAGAGAAAGAAGGCTACAAATTCTCATTAAATATAGTTCAGGTCGAATTAGAGTAAATTTCAATCATTAAACTCCTCTTGTTGTAGAGCTATTGAGAAAAACAAACAAATTGTTATGAATTTCTTCAATGTAACCATGGCACGGGCAGTCGTAGTATATTTGAAATTCCGAGCCGTGTCAACCTTTCCGTTCCCAGTTTGTACTGTACCTAGCTCTATTGACAGGACTAGCCGGTACAACAAGGTTGACGCGGTCAGACTTTATGATTCATATAGGTTGAATTCACTTTTACTAAAGGGGCAGAGGTGCGTGATGGCTAAATTTTCTATAAATCAAAATTGCAAGAGCTACGAGGTCGCAAAGTCGTACCAGCAATGTGGCATATATTTGACCTTCTCCTTTTGTCTATTTTACAGTGTTGCACGAGTTTTTACACATATGACATACTCACATTAGATTATTAGTTTCAACGCTCAACCTAATAGACAAGATAATTCTGACAATGGCGTATACAGGGTGAGGGGGAGAAACCTGTGACCTGTGAGTTCAAGAGGGGGGGTAGTCCCCCACTCTGGAGCTTAGCTGTCATACTTTTAAATCTTAAACTGTAGTGAAGAAAAAATGTGTTTGCTGCTCAGAATTGGAGGGTTGAAAGTTAATTGGACTGTATGTGTACCTTCAAAGTATCTTATATTTATGCCTGATATACAGGAACTCAAATTTTCTCAATTTACAGTTCAAATGTTGACCCCTCCCCCCCCCCCTAAAAGCTCCTGGGGGGGTGGGGCAAAAAGCAAATTTCGCTCAATTAAAAAAATAATGCCCCATTACATTAACCCCCTCCTCCCAAAAAATGGGTTTATTTCTGTATACGCCCTTGATTATTTAACTTAAAATGTAAGATACTCTCTAAGATACGAAATAAAAAAGTTGGATAACTGCCAAATAAGCGTTTTTTTGTTGAATTTAAGCGATTTTTTTGTTGAATATAAGGGAGTTTTTGTTGAATCTATGTATATGATTTTATGTTGAATACAAGCGATTTTTCATTGAATATAAACTTCGTAGTTCGTACTAAACTTACATACTTATTACTTATCATTCAGAGTATTTTGCAAATTGCACATTAGAAGGTAAAAAATGCGTTATTCGGCGTTTACAGCAAAATTTTAAACCAAAAAGCGCTTGCATAATTTGAAAATTATAAAATAAATTCATAACGGCAACGTTGAATGGACTAAGCTTTTTAAATGGCAAATATATTAAAAATATTATAAAAACTTCTAGACGCATCATCACCTTACATAAACCATGTTACGCAACTCACAAGTATACTCCAAACTTGCGTAATACGTGGTTTAAGCGTAAAGAGAGTAGCTTCGAACATTTATAATAATAACCAGGAAGTAATGAAAACAATTTAATAAGCCCAGCCCCCAGCTCCCTGTCCCAACGTAAACCCTCACCCGATTGGGCTATTTTGGTCAAATAAAGATGGAAGGAGGGGGGGGGGCGGTAATTTACGCCTCCTCCCATATGAATTTACTCTTACAGTTGAATTAGGGGAGTGTGATACATTCTCCTGTATTTTCTGTATAAGTATAAGTTCAACTTTGTAAGGCCAGCTCATGAAAAAATTAGACCTCTTACTTGCAAAATGTCAAAGAATAATTTTTCCTTCAAACAAATTGTAAATCTATATATCAATTAAAAAAAGTTATGGTCTCATAACTTGTAATTACGCTGTAAATAACCCCAAATCCAATATGAACTACAAAATATAGTTTAGTTGACTGAGACTATGATTACAGGTATAAGAAATAGTCTTTGTTACTCGTTGAAACATAACCAGTAGAGATCTTTGCTAGTTGATTTAGCATTGAATCATATAGTAAGCTTGAAAATAGAGCTTTGGTTCTATCGTTGAATTATACGAGTTGAGAAATTGCCTGTGTAGCAATTTCATTGGACTGGACTATGTGTCCTTTAGAACTGGGGAGCTTAGCCTGGTTAAGATTTGGCCTGTGTGTCATTTAGAACCGGGGAGTTAAGCCTGGTTGATCTGTAAAACAAGTGAGACCTGGATAGATACTTCTCGAGTAAATTGTTATGGAGTAGGCGTTTACTACAGGCTAAGTTTATAATTTTATTATGTTTAATCATTATACTATAATGTATGAATTGGAAAAAAAGAAAGCATTAAACTTATTTTTCTTCGAGTGTTTGTTTAATCAATATCTGAAACTATAACACTAAATATCTTAACACATTTATAGATAGTTCTATCTAATGTTAGCAATCAAAAAATATTTTTTAAAACTGACTAATATCGAACAGTTTTATTAGGTACTAGCTTGGGAATAATTACTCCCGCCGTTTACCCGCACTTGGTCGTAAATTACGATTTTAGCTATTTTTCCCGATAAAAGGCGACCTACACAACGTAGACTCTAAAAACCAAGCTAAGAACATTTCCGTGGCTCTCCCGAGTTCCCCAATCAAAATTTGAGGCAAATCGGTTCAGCGGTCCTGAGTTATGTTCGGTCAAACCAACAAACAGAAATTACAACAGAAGATTATTGAGGGAACATTGTTTCCATGTGATTAGACATAGTTGAACCAGAAAATCCTTGAAATCTTAGATTAAATTACAGGGTGTCCCAACAAAAATGGGAATTCAGTGACGACCTTTATATAGTCTTCGATCCTTGCGGCATTTTTTCGTGAACACATTATTGCAGTATTCCAGCTTAAACATCGAATATCGAAAACGCCTGGTCTTGAGATTTTCAAAATGTGGTCTATTATTTTTGTTCTTCAAAATTGACAGAGATATTGCAAAATTAGTACAAATTTAAATTTATTTAATAAATCAAAATTGTCTTAATATCTAATATCTTCGTCATTTTTTAAGACACAAGAAAGGTATATATATATATATATTTATGAAAAGCTCGTCAGACGTACAGTCTCGTTTTTTAAATTTTGTTGCCATGCCTTAAATGTCACAAATCAAAGTCGACTTTCAAGTCGTCTCTTAATCCCCATGTTTATTGAGACACCCTGTATAATTCAGGTTTAACATGATGGAAGATCCTATCCCTGAAGAATCTGAACATGAGGAGGAAGATGAAGACTCACTGACCAACAGGCTAAATATCCTCGGCTCACAAGTGCGGAAAAAGGCCCCAAGAAAAGGTGAAAAAATTTCAGCTCCCTTTCCCTTCTTTCTCCCATCCCCTTCCTTCTCCCATCCATTCCTTCTCCATCTCCTTTTTTTCCCAACCCCTAACTTTTCCCCACCCTCTACTCCTCCTTCTTCCTTCTTCCTTCTCCATCCCCCTCTCTCTTTTGCATACATACATCTTACACTGAGAGTGCAGCTAGAGATTGTCCTTTTTTCACCAAAACCCTCAGAAAAGGGTTAAACATTAAAGATTGTAAATAATAAGAATGTGGAATAGGAAGACGACATTAAGACTCATGGCTTTGATTTGAATAGTTCAATAAACATGAAACACGGCAATTGTGCAATGAACACACACCTGCACTACACTTTATTTTCATAATATTGCTTGAATGTCGTCTTCCTTTTCTTCAGTTGTTTGGGTCTCACTATATTCTGCATTAATACATTTGTAGAGTTAACATCAAATTGAAGTAAATTTACGTTACTGCACGCACCTCTGACCCTTCAGTAAAAGTAAATTCAACCTAAAGCCTGACCGCGTCAACCTTGTAGCACCGGCTAGTCCTATTGAGTGTGCTTCATTTACCCAATGACTGAGCGATACAGTACAAACTGGGACCGGAAAAGTTGACCCTGCTCTGAAATTCAAATGCACTACGGCTGCCCGTGGTTATAATGAAATGTTTCCAATCATAACTCTTCTATTTAGAAAGGCATTGAGAATTCCCAAAAAGTTTAAATGTTTGTCATGTAATGAAATCAAAACTAAGAGAAGTCACGAAGTCGAACCAGTAATTTTACCCAAACTTATTCTTTACCTAGTCCTCCAGATCCGAGATCTAGACAAGGGTATTGTATTTTTCGACCTACGCAAATCCGCTATACTCCACTTCTGAACTANGAGTAAATTGTTCCGTGAAAATTTTGCATTTTTTTCCCCTGAAAATTTCGTATTTTATTTTTAATTTTGTTCTCTTGTTAATTTGTTTCGCGAAAAAACGCAAAAATTCGCGAAAAAGCATATCTGAAAATTTTGGAGGGAAAAAATGTGAAAATTTTGCGAAAGGAATTGCGTGGAATTGGCCGGAATTTAAACGCATTGGAAACCCTACAAGTGCAAGATTTATGAAAGGGTATTTACATTTTTCTCTGTAAAAATTTTAGTTTTACCTACAAAAACTCAGGTTTTCTAATCCTTGTATATTTGCAACCCAATGTCGAACACCTTTGATATTTCAAACAATGAATACTGTTATATGTAATAATTTAAATTGGAAATATTAAAGGTCAGGTGGCTAAACCAACCATGTTTGAGCCGTGTCTCATGTTTGAACCGTATCTCAAATTCTTTAAATTACATTGCAAGAATTAGTTCATTTATGTGATTTGTACAATAATAATAAAGTGCATATATTGTCGCACTCCCGTATGCCGAGTCCATTAGCGCCTGATCCAATCAGGGTTCATTCATGTGTTTGTTGTCTATTCTGTACCAACTACCAATAGAAATAGTTTGGCGGTAACATCTATCTTTCTATCTATCTCATTATCCAATTAAAGATATGAATCCTTCAAACGGCGCTATACACTAAATGGAAATATTTACTTCTACTGAAACTATTATTGTGGTCTATTACGGTATTTTTGATGGATGTTGTATGAGATGTCAAACTAAGACTGTGGTTCTTGTACTTTCAAATCTGAAACAGCGTATTATCCTTAGCAAAAAGAAACTATCTGAAGTTTTTAATTAAATTTAGCTGATTTTTTGTAATTTTTTTAGAAATCCCAGAGACGGAGTGAAACAAATCTGTTGTGTTTTGGCAAATGGTGTTGCAATTTACTGTAATAGAGGTTGCAGGTATACAAGGCTGTGCTTTAAGATGGTTCTTTTTTTTGTAGTTTTTCTTTCAGGGTTCATATTTGGCATAACGTAAGATAAGCAAATGTTTTCCAAGTTATTAAAAGAGATTTTTTTTGTCCCCAGGACATGATCGGGTTGTTACGATCAAATCTCGGAATTTTCCAAGTTATTAATGCTAAACACTTGCACTTCTTTAAATATGTAAAGTTTTGACTCTGACAGGAGATATATGCAAAAACGTCCCAAAAACGATCCATAACCGATCCAAAATCGATCGAAAATCGATCCAAAATCGGTGCAAAAACGATCGTTACAGCTTTAACAATCGTTTTTCTTTTTTAACACTATTTTTTTTTTTTGGATAAAGATAATGTAAAATTTAATGAAAGCAAACTTTATCATGATACAGTTTTGAAATCTTGGAAGTTCTATTGATTTTGTCTAAAAACAATCCTAGCTGTAGGTGAGCTCTAGATTTACAAACTAAACCACATCGGTAAAAACTATTTAAAATATTTAAATAATTTCAGGCATGATGATTTTACAAGTCGCGGATCTCCAGTATTAGCAAAACATGAAGAAGACATTATGTTTTTTATACCACCTTAAAGGAACAATTTGTGCTAAAATAACTGCCAGGAAGATTAGAAAATATTTTGTTTTTGACAAATTTCAATATGTGACACAAATTAAAAAATTCATTTTTAGCCTTTAGGGTTTTGCAATCTTAAATAAAGTAATTGTTACTGGGAATATCCCAAGCCGTTATATTTGAAATGTTTTAATGCGTTGTTTTTATTTACAATTGATCAATGAACTACCAGAAACAGATTTGCTGCTGTTTTTTAATGATCAAAAATGTATCATTGCCTCAAGACAATCGTAGTATTGTGTTTTGTTTTGCGAAGTTGAAAATTTTGTGGTTTGGGGGTGGAAAATCATTTCCATATTTTTCGTTTTATGTCTCTTTATACAAAACACTCATGGGCTATGCATCAAATCAATATACTGAGTTTGCTCATACGTTGAACTGTGTAATTTCCACATATTAATGATATACCTAGCACACTAATTTAATATTAAAATTGACTTTCTTACAAAAGTTTATATATTGTTTGAATATGAAATATTATACCATGAATAAATATGCAACATTTTTAGTATACGCCTTAGCATTACTGCAACCCCTTCACTAAACAGTATCAAACCATAGGCTGAAAATGAAACAGCAATATAAATATGTATATTTTGTTGCATATTTGATATTTTTGGCTATATTTATAGTAATAAATCATGAGATTGATACAAATTGCTGTTTTTATTCTTTAATAATCTAAGCTCTATAATTCAAAAGCTGACTGACCTGAACTCCTCAAAACGGATTTTATTTTAGTACTTTCCTAGAAGAGACAAGTGTGGAGTTTCCATCGATATCATTCTGCAGAACCTTTAAACACCCAACCCCCGGCTTTCTTGATTTGATTGATGATAGTTCAGAAAACTCAATCAAGAGCTGGGCTCTCAATAATACTTTTCATGTAGAAGAGTTGTTTACTTTTGTTAATCATGCTGGAGAGGAGACAGGATTTGAATGTAACTCTATTGATGGTCCACTTCTGAAAGGGCAGCCGTGTGTGTTTCCTTTCATTTGGGGTGATTGCTCACTGATTCATCCTAGCAGCCATGACCACAGCTTTTACTGTACGTCATTTGACCAAGTAGACCCTGTAGAGGTTTATCATGCTTGTACAACAAAAAATGATGTTCGACCTTGGTGTGCAACAATGGTATTTAAAAATCAATCAATGGTTCCCTATCACTATGGATATTGTGCTCCAGGCTGCAATGGATCTTTACCAAAATTTGAAAATTCGAAGAACTTGGCAAATCTTTTATTTCGACATCTTTGGAAGGAAAGCATATTTCACTTGGATCCCTGGAAGGCTGGACACTGTCATACATATACTCCTAAAAATCAATATACCAGTGGAGAACTAGGAAGTTTTTATGCTTATCTTGGAAATGACATAGAAAAGGGGGAAACTGTGTTAAACCGTAGAGCAACTGATATATACTTACATTCTTCAAAGGTATTTGGAAAGTAAGAAATATTAGCATAACCCCTCATGCATTAATAATGTCTTTTTTAAAGAGTTTTTGGTTGGCCAGTAGTGGAATACCTAGTGGACAAAGCAGCGTAATCAAGCTTGATCCAAAGAAAAAGATAAAAGTGGGTGGACAATAAAAACTTAGAAACTACTGTTTTACAAAATTTATGTTTTAGGTTACCTTTGAGAAAACCATAGAAACCAGAATATCAGGCTCTGATTCTTGTAATGAAGATCCTGTAAGTACTGTAAGTAATGTCCATATAGTATAAACGTATCATTCTCAAATGTACTGCTTGATGTAATTCCCCCCCCACCCCTGTAAAATATTATGTTAACAGCAGATTTGAGAAGTTAAGAAAATTCACAACTTTTATAATTAGTTATTTATTGAGCAAGCAAGACAGCCGAGGTAGGCACAGAGTGCACATGGGTACTAATATACTATTGTTTCCTGAATCAGTACTATAGTTTATTAGTCATAGCTTGTACCGCATACATTTACTTGTACCAGCCTGTCTAGTAAGTACCTACGGTTTGTGGACCCAGTGCATTTTCTGCAACAAATTTAGACTGGCTTGGTACATGATAGTGACAATGTTTATACTGACAAATCTGAAACAGTTTCCACATAGAGTAAAACAGTTCTGTAAAGAGTAAACACTTTTTAATGTATACAATTGTTTTAAGTTAAACACACACAAGGACACAGTGCAGTTTTCTTTAACTTTTTAAATTTTTCTCCTTCTAGGATTATAGTTTGACTAGGTGCATTACTAGCTATATAAATACCAAAACTGGATGTGAGCTTGATTGGTTTGCATCATCTGAACATACCTTTCCAGCTTGTAAAACTATTGCTGAAATAAAGATGATGGCAGAAATAATGGCTAAATTGGAATATAGTGCTTATGCAGAAACCAGGCTTTTGACAGGTAGCTGGACTTCAAATAAAGTGATTTCATTTGATTACTCTGTAACACATATTCATCAAAATTTCAGAAACCTTTTGCAACAATTTGTCAAAATACCTCCATTTGGCAGTTTAAGTGGGATGAAAGGGAAAGATGTCCCCAGGCCCCAACCCTTTAAAAATTTACATGGGGGAGGGCAATAATCTCTGAAGAGTGACCCACCCTCTAGTGTTTGTTTTGTAAAATTTAAAACAGCTTTTTCAATAATTCATCTATGTTAAGCATTGGTAAAAACTTTCAATTATGATTCATGGTCTTGGATTTATTTTTAAATATTTAATTCTAAAAGTTTTGAAAGTTAATTCGAGTTATTTTATAACACTTTAGGTAACACTTATAGTCAGGGGACTAAGTAAACCAGTCCTATTTGTACACAGCACTATCTTTTTGCCTGTATAATATCAAATTGTCTTTCTGTAACTTTGATCAAACAAAACAAATGATTAGTTTTATAAAATTAAAACAACAAAAAAAAACAATTCATCTAAGTAAAGTTGAAATTCTTAGAATTATCATTGTGTTAATCAAGCTGATTATGCAGAGAGCTTTTTCATGGTGGAATCAGAACCTATCAAGAGCCATTTCACCTCAGGGTTTCTTCTGGCAACACATTATTTACATTTAGGTTGCCTTGTTCCTTGTACACGTGAGATCTGGGTGACTGAGGTTGAGGAGGAAAACATTTACTGGAAAACTTCCAATTGGTCATCTGAGTTTGTTTTACAAGCCAAGTCTGGAAGAACAGAGGTATAGTAAACAGATAACTGATATGTGCTGATGGCGAAGATGTCGGGATGTTTTTAGGGTTGCTTAGTTGGCAATACTAGTTGAATTGCCAGGCGGTTTGGTTTTCTTAAAAAATGTCCCCCAATTCGGTCCAGCCGTTTGGCCAGCTGCAGCAAACAAATATGAGCAAAGAGCTTTACTATATATAGATTGAATAATTTGAAATTTCAAAAAAATTTAAAATTCCTTTTTATTTCAGCGGTTGATTGAAACATTTGTTTTTGATATCTGGGACCTAGTGAATGGAGTTGGAGGCCTGCTAGGACTACTCTTGGGGGTTTCAGCTCTCTCTCTCTCGGAGATATTACTTGATACCATTATCAATAAATTTGGATAAAATAGCTGTTAAGAATTTATTGAGTTCAATTATGATTAGGAACCTATTGTAAAACCATAAATAGATTTTTGTGAAAATTTGTCTAATTTAAAAATTTCTTCTATAAAGCTTAATTTGTAATTATCACCCGATAGGAAATTTACATGGTTCAAATTGTGCAAAATTATAACTACAAAACAGATAATACTTTTATTGTAACATATCATCTTTTTATCACTGCACTGTTGCAAATAAGTTGTAATCTTAATGATTTTTAATTTATTATTGTTGATTTTTCTTCATTTTTTCTTTTGTTAGAATAGTGAAATCCTTGAAATATCAAGAGTAGAGTTTTTAGCAAAAAGAGTAAATTGTTCCGTGAAAATTTTGCATTTTTTTCCCCTGAAAATTTCGTATTTTATTTTTAATTTTGTTCTCTTGTTAATTTGTTTCGCGAAAAAACGCAAAAATTCGCGAAAAAGCATATCTGAAAATTTTGGAGGGAAAAAATGTGAAAATTTTGCGAAAAAAATACGGAAGAGAAATTACAAAGTATGATAAAATAAGACTTCTAATGCTGAGCTCTTGCATGTTTTTTTTTGTGCAATTTATTGATGCAGCTATGGTTTTTGAGAAATTTTTTTCGCGAAAGTTCGCAAAAACAGTTTTTTGCAAAAAGCATTTTCACAAAGTTACATCTTTTGTGGGTGACCCTGTATCTTGAGATTAAATAGTTTCATGTTCTGTGGGTAACCCTGTATTGAAGGTTAAATTTGGTATATTTAGCTGGACTTACCTTTGGTTCTCCTTGAATTTCGTTCTGTCCCCAAAGATGATACTGATGTTGCTGAGGCAGTGTATGGTACTCCTCTGACCCTTCCTGACGATTTCCTTGATTCAGCTGAGTTCCCTCCTCTTCATAGGGTTGAGAAGTCTCTTGCTGGTTTCTACTCAGCTACTCACCATATCCGCACTGATTCCCCCAAACAACGGCCCCCTGCTCTCCTTCAATGTGAGATTGTTTTTGTGAGAGAGGATGCTGGTACTCAGCACGTCCTAAAGAGATAAGACAAGTTCTTTGTTTTGCAGAATGGGTGACAAGGAAGATTCTGTTTCTGTTGATAGACTTGAGCCTGTTTTCTCTTGCACTAATCCTGTTGTTTCTGCAGTTCCTCCAACCCATGGTAGACCTCGTCATCATCCTGTTGTTAAGCCTTCAGCCCCAGCTAGACCAGCCACCCCTTCACCTACTACAGTTTCTCCTCCTGCAGATGGCTTGCCATCCCTGCAACGAAGAAACCCTCGGAGGATTGTAAGAGATCATACATCAGCTCCTTTTCCTACTCGCTGATGTCTGGGGGACTCTTGTGGCGCCCATGTTGGGTACCTGGAATGTAGTACACAGCATACTCCATACTTCACATGTTATTGTTTAGATTCTGGTATACTGCATCTTGTAATAATACTGTGTTAGATAAATATATATTCAGTTAGCTTATACTACTCATTCTTACTTATTCATGCTTATTTGCACTCCGCTAAATGAGCACATATACAGAAAGACAGAAGTGTTTATGATTTTAAAGATTTATCTGATTTTTATATATTTTATTAATATTCATCACACCCTGTATCCAAGGTTGAATTTGGTATATTTCTATAGATATAATAAAATATAGTATAGAATAAAGCTGTATAATAAATTAGCTGTAAGCAGGTGAATTGTTTCTCTTTTGTTTATTATTGAATAGTTTCTTTAGTACCATCTGTTCTGTTAAAATATATATTAACTGTGCTCGTTTTAACACCTTGATCCTTTTTTGAGAACTAGAAATTTCAGTTATTTCAGTTTATATCATCAATGCTGTATTCTTAGTACATAAGAGATATTTGGAATTAAACTAGATTTGTGTAGTACTGTAGAGTGCACACATTTTATAGTTTAGAATTTTTTACCCTTAGCCAGCAATTAAAGAAAGTATGGTTGAACGAAACTCCCGAGTTTCCTTCTTGTGGGTCTACAAATGTGTATAGATTTTCCTTCATGAAACTATAAAACACTAGGCTTTTTTGTGCGCTTTGTGACCATTTTCTTTTTCAATTGTGAGAATGTTCTCATTTGCATACATTGTAAAACAAAAACAAAACAAAAATTTCGCAGATTTTATTAAAAAATTTCGTAAATACTCAAAATTTTAAAATTTTTTCAAAAATCCAATTTTGTTAGAAGCAAATTTTTGAAATAACTTTAAAACGGCCTACACTTTTTACACGAGACTATAGATATAATAAAATATAGTATAGAATAAAGCTGTATAATAAATTAGCTGTAAGCAGGTGAATTGTTTCTCTTTTGTTTATTATTGAATAGTGTAGTACAACAATAATAAAGATTGTAAACAATAACATAAATGATAAACAGACATCTTGTGCATCTCTAGCGTTAGATAAAGATTCACCGTTAACTAACTCATGTTTGTTTACATTAGATCGGCTGCCTTTATTATTGTTGTTACGCAAAAACTAGTTCTTCAGCAGTCCAAAAACGTCACAGCTAAGTGTACGGAAACCCAATCGCCCCCCTCCTTCTATTAAATTCTCCTTGGTATTTGTCAAAAGTAAAAATAACAATTTTTAATAATTTTTTTTGAACTTTTTAAAGTAGCACCATTATCATTAGAGTAAGATGTGTAATTTATTTGTAATGAGCTGGCCTTGAAAGGTCGGACTAGGGACATGTATCACACTCCCCTATCCTAACTCTCAGGGCAAAATCATAGGGTGTGGAAAACACCCAATATTATACAAAAATAGCTCAATCGTTTTGATAAATAGTATTGAAAAAATTGGTCAATATCTATGGACAGAACGACATTTTTAATGAAATAAAAGCAAACTTATAAAAAATCGAATTTGGCTAGCTATATGTTTCACATTTTAAACCTCACTCTCTCTGAGAGAAAGCATGCAAAATACTTGCAGAATATATTCAGGACTAGGGCCGCAACCCTTATATAATCTTTATACTGTGTAACGAGAAGGGGTATAGTCCCTTTGCTAATGGTAGATGTAAACGTCTACTACAGTCAACGAGTATGGTTCACACCCTTCGCTAATGGTAGATGTCAAAGTCTACTACAGTCAACGAGTATGGTTCACACCCTTTGCTAATGGTAGATGTCAAAGTCTACTACAGTCAACGAGTATGGTTCACACCCTTTGCTAATGGTAGATGTCAAAGTCTACTACAGTCAAAAAGAATGGGTTCAAACCCTTTGCTAATGGTGGATGTCAAAGTCTACTAAAGTCAACAAGAACGGGATCACACCCTTTGCTAATGGTGGATGTCAAAGTCTACTAAAGTCAACAAGAATACATTGCTACTTTTGATAAATCAATATGTATTTATAAGTTTAATGAATGCGGTCCTGAAAATGTTTTGATTATTTTAAGTGCTGACGAAGTATTAATTATCTACTTGTAAATGCACAGTTCAATATATATTTAGTAGAGATTTCATTATGTAAAGGTTGTTTTAACAAATACCGATCAGAACAAAATTATCAAACATTATATTTTCAAGTGGCTCTTATTACATTTCTTTTGTGTTTTATTTTCAAGCTAAACCATCATTTTGTATTTTGTGTTTGAAAATAAATACTATAAGATATATAAAATAAATACTATAAGATATGTAAAATAAATACTATAAGATATGTAAATGTTTCGCTACTTAGCGATTTCCCTAAAGACCTAATATATATACCGTGTGGTATTTCTCAGGACCGGATCGTAAGACTCCCTTCTCTCAACGCTCTTCATAATAAAAGGATGATAGTAAGGTTCCGAACGTTTATTTCTCTGAGCCTTCAATCTAAATAAGTTTAATAAACCCACAGAAAAAGCTTTGAGTGACAAATCATACAACTACAACAAATAATTCACTCAGGCATTAAAAAACTGTGGCTAGGAACCAATAAACATGTATATAAATATCAATCATACTATAATCAAACCGATAAGCATAAATATATATATAAAATAGTTACCACAGTGATCCCAGAATTCTGAACACGGCTAATACTTGCAAAACGAATAAACATATACTGATATAAATTATTTACTACTCCGCGAGAAATCTTGCGTCTGCGCAGTCGGTCTGTAAACAGTTCCTAAACTAGTTCTTTCACAATACATTCCGTACAGATCTTCAGGGAGAACTCAGAAATACCCAGGGGTGACAAGCAGACTTTCTACACGCAGCATGGCTCGCGTAACAGTAAAATAAATACTATAAGATATGTAAAATAAATACTATAAGATATGTAAATTAAATACTGTAAAATATGTAAAATAAATACTATAAGATATGTAAAATAAATACTATAAGATATGTAAAATAAATACTATAAGATATGTAAAAGGACCCAGAAAAAATTGGTAAAACGAAATGAATGGATTAACATAATAATCATTTTACAAGACATGGGACCGGTTCATTTGGAGTACTGTCCCATTTTTCCTTTTATTGTCTGTATGCACAGAGCAAGCAAGCTGACAGTACACATATGTGTACTGTACAGCTTGCTCTTGCAGGTTCCAAGTTGACCCGGGTTGCTTGAAATTGACCGGAGTTTCCAATGAGTTTGCAGGATAAAAATGTATTTGAGGTTCAGTCTTTTATCTACATTTATAGCTCTCCGCAAATGTAAACCTTTTTTTGAAACCATTTAATTAAATCTGTCTAGTAAACTAATAATAGAATAAGATTACTTATTTTTGATAATAAGAGTTAATTTTATTTTCTCAACCTGTTCCTAAACAACTAATTACTGTAGAATTTTGTTCACATTTTTTGTCACCGTTATTTGATGATTAAAAAAAACAATTCTGAAAACGTATCCACCCAAAAAAACGAATTGCAACGTCGACTTTGCGCTCAAACACCGGATTTACAAATCTTTAAAAAGTTTGATATGTCTCAATTTAATACTAAAGAATTTGTCCACTGCATACTCAGTTTAAATACCTTACATGGCCGGTCTGTCCCTTTAAGTTTTTTTTTATGCGTGGTGTATTAGATGGATTTAAGTAAATGGTTTCGAAAAAAGGTTTACTTTTGCGGAGAACTATGAATGTAGATAATAACTATTTATAACACTGTTATTTTGGTTCACAGTGTTATAAATTTTTGAACAGAAATTTTCTCTTTATCGAGCCTTTTTGGATTTAATAAATATAATCTAAAAAAGCGAGAACCTTCGAGATATAGAGAAAATTTAAGTCCAAAAACTCTATAGCACGTCGTACCAAAATAATAGCGTAATTTTATGAAACGTTTGTGCACTTTTCTTATTTCAATGGCTGTTTCTAGATCCAATAAGCTTTGAAACAAAGCAGAAATCAAAATATAAAGTGATATCAATTTTATTTCTATTTCAATTGAAAAAGTTTTTTGGAAATACCCTAAATTTTTTGGAGAAAATCCGGGAATCAATTAAAACTTTGTAGCACACCACGTGCTATAATATTATAGCACGATGATTAAATTATAGCACGATGATTAAATTATAGCACGTTCATCATGAAATTCAAGATAAAGTAAGGAAGAATTATAAAGTACACAATAGTTTCATAAAAAATACATTCTGTACAATTAATCTTCTCTAAAGTCTCATCTTATGTGAATACCCCTGTATGATATAAGTCCTGTGAATACCCCTGTATGATATAAGTCCTGTGAATACCCCTGTATGATATAAGTCCAGATTAAAGTTGAAATTTCAGATTGAAAATGAAACATAATTTAATTATTCAACTTGTTGGATTAATCTTTCTCTTGATATTATTCTATTTGACATTTCCAAAACAGGTAATGGGGATAACAGATTTTTGTTCAAATATTGAAGAAAAAAAACATAATACAAATATTTACAAAGTAGACATATAATACAATTTATTCTTTTTATCAAACTGTTAAGATTACCAATATGAATGGATTTGGAAGAAGTTTTTATGATATAGAGAAGGTAAACTTTTAATGGAATCTAAAAGATTTCATTGATATTTAATTTTTTTATTAAATTTTATTTACATAATTTTGATTTTAAATGAAAACATTTTTGGTAACTTGAATTACATTCTGTTCGAAATTATTAACAGAGTATTAGGAATATCTAACAAATTTTTATATTCCTTACATTCTCTTCAAAATTTCGAACTACACGATCGATTTCCAAACAAAAATAAAATGCCTAATATTAAGAAATTCGGTTATACTCCAATATCTATTTTAGTGTACCTGTGCTCTACCGCAGTCAAAGGAAGATCTCTCTTAATTAAACATTTGTTAATTTCAACAAATATTTGTTCAATTATTTTTAAAATGAAAATGTAAACTTTTTATGAAAAGATAACGCAATTTGATGTTTCAGGGTGTATATGATTAACGCACATTTTCAAACTCTAAAGTAAATAAATACCAATGACTACCTTTTTTTTCGTTTTTTCTCTTGAAAACCTTGAAATCTTCCATCTGCGGATTTACTAAAAACTAAATCATGGATTCTTGTTGAACAGATAACAAAAAATGGCTTTCTTTAAATAAATGATCTTAAATTCGAAACTTGGTTTTAAAATCAATCACAGTTTTACAATCTTAAACTATATTTTTGTAATCAAGTTTTATTAACGGAGTCTCTAGATTGATGCTGTCGGAGGTTGGATATATAACGAAGGAATTAATTGATCAGCGAAATATAAATTCATAATTTCAAATTTCAAAAATGTTGAAAAGTATCAAATTATTTCTAAAAATTGAAAATGAAAAATATCCTTCCAACATTATAAAAATACTTTGTTTTATATACCATTGTTTAAATAATAAATTCAACTTTTTAATAAATTTTTTTTTAAAGAAACTAAAATATTTTTTTCAATTGAATTTTTTTTTGTTTAATTTGTAATTGAAAATACCGCCATGGCTTGTGTAATCTGTGTAACCGTAGTATTTATGAAAATACGCAGAATCCGAAACTATTTAAATACAATTCTTTGGATTAAAATTTTTTTGTTGCGGGTTCTTTTCTGATCTAATTATATATCAGCAACAATAAGAAATCATCATGTTAGGTAAAAAAGTTTAAAAATTGTTCATAAGATAAAAAATATTTTATCTAATAATATTTTTTGATCTAGTTTTGATAATGGCGCTGGGAAAGAAATATTGAGAATCGTTCTAAAAAACACACCAAAAACAGGTCAACTATATGGACGCTGTTAAAGGGACTGTAAGCGTAATTTCAACTGACCCTCCATGGTAAACCTTGATTTACAACGGTGACATTGAAAGCTTAGTCTGATCTATAGAATTAGATTTCCATGTTTTTTATTAATTTTATTTCCAGTTTCTTGGAAAAAAGATGGTATATTCCACCTTTGTGATCAGATGGAGATTTTAGGGGTACCGTTGTAAATTGGGCAATGCCATCTTTGCATTGAGGGTAACTTAAAATTACACTTAAAGTCCCTTTAAGGAGAAGATAATTCAATTGGTATAAAGTTTATTAATTCACTTATTTTAAGGAAATACCGATTTTGTAACGGTCTTTTTAGATTTTCTATTGATTATCACTTTTCCATTTTTCTAGAAGGTGTAAAACCAAAAATCGGAGATATCGGTGCAGGGGTTGGACAGTTTGGGGAATGGTTGAAAAAAACGGTAGGTTTATTTTCTTTTACATTTTCATGGATTCAGGGTTAAAAATTTGGTTTTTCAAAGCAATTGGTTCTTTGCCACAAACTTAATTTTTCCAATCCCTATATTTTTGCAAACTGGTTGTGTAAACCTTTGATATTTTAACTTAGACTATCTGATCTTACAGAATTCATAGATTGACATATATAAGGTCTAAGACATTAAAATGCACAGATATAGGGATTAGAGAATCAGAGTTTGTGTCAAAGACTTAATTTCTTTGTTCATAACTTGCTTATTCGGTTCCTCCCTTCTCTGGCGCTATTTCTGTAATTAGCTAGAGCGCTATTTAAGAAAAATAATTCAGATCCTTTTCGAAAATTACGGACAATGGAATGTGCGGACCACAGATGGACGAATTCGAATTTTCAAATTCGTTCATCGTTTACACCATCATGTTTGTTTAGAAAAACCTGATCGTTTTTTCAAGTTCATTCGAACAAACGAATTATAAGTCTTTCATTAACGGTCTTGCTAATCCTTAAAATGCCTTTTTTTAAAACTATCGTTTTTAATTTCCCTAGCAGCATGATCCAATTCCTTCGTTTCGTTCACAAATAAAAACGATGCCAATATTTAATGTGGAGGTGAGATCCTCTTATAGAAGAATTCCATTGCAAGTCTGATTTATACAAAATATTTAAAAAAATTTTGTTTTTTTTTATCTTGGAAAATACAAATATTTCACTTTCATTCATTGTTTCATGTATAATCAATATAATTCAATTATCAATTTTCAGATAGGAAACCAGGGATAATTTTCAGATAGGAAACCAGGGATAATTTTCAGATAGGAAACCAGGGATAATTTTCAGATAGGAAACCAGGGATAATTTTCAGATAGGAAACCAGGGATAATTTTCAGATAGAAACCCAGGGATAATTTTCAGATAGAAACCCAGGGATAATTTTCAGATAGGAAACCAGGGATAATTTTCAGATAGAAACCCAGGGATAATTTTCAGATAGGAAACCCAGGGATAATTTTCAGATAGGAAACCAGGGATAATTTTCAGATAGGAAACCAGGGATAATTTTTCTTTAATGATGAAATACATCGTCATCATTTTTAAATCTGTTAACACTTACAGTTTTCAGGGATCAAGTTCAGTTGATTGGTATGGGTTCGATGGTGGCAGCAATGTAAACTCATTTTGTGGGAAGAATGTGTCTCTCGTTAATCAAGAAGTATACACAGGTCATATAATCATTTTACATTTAAAGGAACTGTCAGCGTAATTTCTGTGTGCGCTGAGTTCAGACTGCACACAGTTCACATTGTACGCAGCTGAATATAAGGCTAGTGGGATTAAATAAGTTTGAACACACATATCTCTGTATTCATCGAACACACAAAGGTTTTAAGGGTACCGTTGTAAATCGTGGATTGCCCTCTTTGCATGGAGGGTCACTTGACATTATTCTTACAGTCCCTTTATGTACGTTAATAGCATGCAGGCCTAGAAAGAAAGATTTTAAGAAACTTGAAAAAGTACGCCGTAAAAAAGTCCAGGATACATTTTTTATCCATGTAAATTTTATATTTTTGTATATTTGTTATTTTTCTTAGATACACATTTAAGAGCAAAAATTAAATTACAAAAAAAATATTTATTATTTTCTTTGTTTAGTTCCAAAAGTGTGTTTTCTTGATGCCTCTCTACCTGTCAAATTAGAAGGTAAAATATCCAAATTCAATATATAATACTATGCTTATTGAGTTGACACCGCGCCCCGCTTTGTGCTTATTTTTAAAAAAAATTTTAAAGATATTTTCGTTTTTTACATTTTACTAATTTTATTTTTATTTTTGGCGATTAATTCTAAATTCTTAAAAATGTTTTGAAGTGACTAATATTTCATAACATAAAATACCAACTAGCTCTGTAACCAATTAATGTTGAATAAATTAGCAAAAATTAAACAAATTTGAAAAAGTATTTTTTTGAAAACTGTCAAATTCTATTAAATTATTTTCAGAATTCCCAGAAGTATACGTGAGAATTACAATTTTTTTATTAGATTTTGATTTGCTCGGGTCCCCTTAATTTTTTATTTAGATTTTTATTTGCTCGGGGCTCCCTTTGACTGGGTGATGAGTGTTGAAGTAGGAGAACATATTCCTGCTGAATATACTAAAACATATATAGGGAACATTCATACCTTTATATTCGATGATTCTAACACAGATTATTGTTCTATTTCTTATGCTGTACAACATATTTCGTATTTTTAAACACTCCCCGGGAGCATGAGTTAAATTGGAACTATTTATACATTTCAACATATACCAGCTCTAGACGATATTCTGATTGACTGAATTTATTAAGCCTGGGGTGCACAATTCACAAGAGTACAGCCCGTACAGTATCCTTTATTTATTAAGCCTGGGGTGCACAATTCACAAGAGTACTGTAACAGTGGGCGAGTTTTGTTGATCTTTTACGATCAGCAATTCAAGGATTTTTTGGATCGCTGAGATCATAGCTACCAAGGGGAATCATGCCCCCTTTCCCCCCCCCCCCATCTTTAACCCTACGGTTGGACTTTAGAGTCCTATTTTGAATCCTAACGGATTTATTTGAGTTTGCATTTGGATTCTATAAATAACCCAAGCGACGCCGAATTTTCCGTTATCTTGAAGACCCAAGCGTTGGGGAGGGGGCGGAACAACCCCGGGGTAGCTAGGGTTAAATGCGATCCTAGGATGGAGCAAAATCGAAGGGGAACAGGCAGTTGATCGTCAGCTCCCTTGATCTAAAGGTCCCTTTGAAGAATTCCCCTATTTGATGAAACTGATTTGATTAATAATATTTAGTTTGTATAAGTGAGACGATGAAAATGAAAATGTAAAATGTCTCCTGTTTGATGGAACTGATTAGATTCATAATATTTAGTTTGTATAAGTATCGTTCGATTTAAAGTTTGTATCTTTTGTATATAAATATATTGTAAGAAAAACCGACTCGTTGAATAATTAAGAAACTCAGTGCATTGCTTTATTGATTTTTATTCCTATACAATAGTACAGCTCGTACATTATCCTTTAAAAATTGTCAGATCATCGCTGGAAATTAAAATGTTGCTCAAATATTCACGACTGTTACCCTTTAAAGCTTCTTATGATTGAGAATTAATACGACATCCATGTTTTAACTTCATTGAAAAAAAAATAAATTTAAATTTAAGGAGCGGAGGGTCTCTTGAAATTACTGCAATAACAAAATTGTTGTTAAGAAAGGTGTTTTACTAAATCTAGCTTGTTTGGGTGTCTGTTTGTTTGTATCCAATAAACGTCAAAACGGCTGAACCGATCGGACCCAAATTTTGTGTGGGACCTTATGTGACCCCAGGGAAAGTTTATGCATGATCAAAATTTTGAAAATTTGTGTTTAAAAGTTTTTTATTTTTGTAAAATTTTGAAAATGCGCGGAAAAATATTATGCAATCCGCAAACTCTTTTTTGTTTTTGTCTTATACTATACGAAGAGAAAATGTTCACAGATAAAGCCATAATTAAAAGTTCAGATAGAGGATGGGCGCAACAGCCTAGTAAACTTAAATTTTATGAGATGAAAAAAAGAACACAGATAAATCCATTAATTAAAATTTGAAATAGAAGATGGGCGCGAAGCGCCCTAAAAGCCTAGTTATATGAATGTTTGTTAAATCAGATAACTTGATAAGGGTAAGTGTAAGATAACTTTGAAATAAAACCAAAAAACATCAAAATAGACATTACAAAGTAGGGTTTCCAGTACAATTAAAAATTTGCACAGATTCCGCGTTCTGCGCTGCAAGCAAAATGTTTACGAAGAATTTTACCAATATTTTACCCAAGTGATTTAAAAAATTACGCAGTTAGATCGTACAGATATATATATATATAATTGTATTATCTTTAATTGTGAAGGTATTATACAAAATGCATTATTTTACCTAAACCAGACAAAATCTGTATTAATACCTACTACCAGTCTAGGGATAACATTTTACAGCTCTATGGAAAGCCTATAACCAAAAGGAAGCAATCTTTGCGACAAAATTTTGTTTAGATTTTTGCACAAATCTCTTTTAAGAGAATTCGCACATAGTCATTTTCTTAAATACACATTTGGGGTTTAAGATGTTACTAAAATCTTTGCTTTTCTGATTACGCTGGGTCAGGAGCTTTTCAAAAATGTGAAACTTGTCGAATTTCGCGTAATTTTTGTTTTTGTACATCTTTTGCTATAACTGGCTTCACAAAAAATTATTTGGAGTGTTGAATATTGGCGATTTTTTGCATGTTATTGACGTAAAGCCCAAGGGATTTCCAAAATCGTATCAAACGTTGTAAATTTGTATCACAATCAGAAAGATGGGGTGGGGGGGGTGACCCCCTTCACCGCCTGTTTTGGGTAAACCAGACGTCAGTTGGAATAGGGTTAATAGGACGTTAAATATTTAGCTTAGCAAGTATGGAATAATATTATCCTGGGCTGTGGTAGGACAAGGAGGACATGGACATGTAAATAATATGGACAATCAAGATGTTATCAAGGTAAAGAAAGGATGTACATAATATGGACAATCAAGATGTTATCAAGGTAAAGAAAGGAACACTATAGCTTCAATTCTAATTTGCTAATTGGATTGTAAGCGTAATGTGATTCTCAATGCAAAGATGGAAATGTCCCATTCACAGCAAACTTTGCATCTGATAAAGTATGAATTAGTTGGGGTTAAGGGTACATTGAAACAAAGAAACTAAAAGCTTGCCTCCATTCTAATTTGTTTAAAAAGTTGAAAAAATCTAAGAAATTAAAAATTGAGGTCTGTTATCTGAATAATTAAGAAAATGAAGAGGTTAAATTATATCCCTTGAGATATGTAACAAAGGGGGCGGACGCCTCACTCAAACCTTCCCCAAGAAATTCTGACAGGAGTATGCACATGGCAAAAGCAGAGAAAAACTAATAAAAATTAAAACATTTTTCTTTTAAAAATCACTTTTTACAATTTTTCTTTTCTTAGCTGCTGTGCATAACATTACTTTCAAACCTCAATTAAATCCTCCCCAAACCTGACTCTTATACTGGTGTTGCCTCCTCCTTATCCGCATAATTTAGGGTCTCCCTGTATATTATAGATGATGACGGATAGGAGTATGGTGTATCTACCTCAAGAAACTGCTACAGTTAGAAGCAGAGTTCAGAATTTGAGTTGGTTAAAGTAAGTATTTATAGAAAAAGTGTGAGTATAAATTAAATAAGGTTATTTCCAGCGTTCAGTCCGTTTTGTAGGCGTATCAGCTACGGAAGAAATTTTAAAATTGTTAATAAACGGAAATAACGGTTCTTGCTTAATGGTTTACAAAAGTGAACAAACAGATGTTTTGAAATAACTTTGAATTTCGTTAACTTTTGAATTTTATTTTAGGTATTTTGATGTTTTTATGCGCTTTGATTTTTTAAAATGTTGTCTTCAAATTTGTTGAGTAATTTTAACATGAAATAATTGCTTGTTAACAGCTGGCACTGTTAGTGGTAGCATAATAACAATTACAAAATATCTTCTGTTAACGCCGTTAGCTAACGGAAACTTTGAGAAAGAACGGAAAATGTCGTTAATGAACGGAACCATCAGCTTATATCTAAAGAAGGAACGGCTACCAAAAAGTAGCTTTTAAACGATTTTAACAAACCGGCTTGAACAAAATCTGAAAGTTGCATGTCTGATTCACAAAGGTATCATGACAGAAATTTCTGATATCCGTGTTTTTGTTTAAGAAAACTGTTTATTTTTATTTCTGGTTTCTCGGTGGATCCGCATTTGAACTACTGCCGTTTGAACTATGGTACGTTTGATACTATTGTTCGTTTGAACTATTGTTTATTTGAACTACTGACATGACGTCATATCCTGTAGTTTAAATCAACGCATTTCTTGCTCATTTGAACTATTTTTCTACCCCAATTCAGTTTTAATTTTTTTTTATAATCTCCATAAAACGTTATATTCATGACAATTAATTAGATAAACATTACACAGAATGAACATAAAAATAGTTCAAATGAACATAAAAATAGTTCAAATGAACATAAAAATAGTTCAAATGAACATAAAAATAGT